TGGTCACACCTTGTTTTGTGTTTCTGTGTGGACTATTCAATTTACTGCTGTCTTATGTGCTACCTGTGAAAGTACTAGACCAAATCTTTATGATTAATAATTACCCCTTTACTTTTATTAAATAGTAAAGATACCTGGCTCTTCTAGGGCTTTTCATTCATAGACATGAAACTGCTTTATGAAGGAGTTAAGTATCATTATCACCACTTTACAGATGGGAAAACTGGGGCACAGACGTGAAATGACTTGCTGGAGGTCACCCAGCAGACCAGTGGCAGAGCCGGTAGCAGACATCAGATCTCATAACTCCCAGTCCAATGCTCAATCATATAGGCCACTTTGAGTAGTGACAGTTTCTCAAGCCAGAGGGGTCAAAACAGAAGCTCTACACTTTCACTGAGTGAGGTCAGTTTTCATGTAGGAGTGAATGAATGTTGGAACCACAAGCTGGAGGGAAGATAGGAGCACAGCTGGTTAAAGAGAAGGAAAGAAAAGTGAGATAGGTGGCCAGGGCCGATATGAGGAGTATTGGGGGTTACACACTAATCCCATCTCCCTGATGCTAGTTGGAAAAAATATTAATGGAGGAACTACTGGAGCATGCCTTGCCATCTACTTTTCCTAAACAAAGAAATTCATTTGGCTTAGTGGCAAGGTACTTGTGCTTTGGACCCCATCTTGACTAGCAGCGGGGAGGGAACACCCTGCCCCAGATTGTCTTTAAAATATAAACTATTGACAGAGAAAAGAGATCTGAGGAAATCAAGAGAAACCAGCAGCCCGTGATCATGAAACACAGAGTGCATGTTCTCACCATAAAGTTAACTCAAGTCATAACTCTAGTGTAGCCCCTAACTCAAGTCCCATCCACATACAGAAGCCCTTAACTTGAGTGGTGTAATGGTGGTGCTTTTTTTGTCAAGATTTCTTATTAATGTTTTGTATTGAGAAGTAAAAATTATGATACAAAAAGAAAAGAAAAAACCCGAAGTTATACACTTAAAATCATCTTCTGTAACACACAGCACAGAGGTAACATGCACGTTCAAAAACCATTGTTGACATCCTTAACATTAAGCTCTTTATCCCAGTTTTAATAATATCTTCAAGACTCCAAGAGTGCTTTTTCATCAACAGGGCATGTATGGATGACAGGAGTCTAGGGAACATCTCTACTACACCCAGTATTTCAGGGGTGTCAGGCAGTGCCAGAGTGCTTGGGTCAAGGGGATGGGTCAATAAATGATTCAGAGGTATATGTTGTCATAGTGGTGTGGCCTGAGGGTTAAGCTGACATAGCACCTGGAATGGAACTATCCCCCTCATCCCCCCATTTTCAGTCAGTTGAGAGACGCATTATATGCCTATATATAATATATATATCCATTCTTTCCATATGACTGATGGGTTGCCAATCTGCAAGTCAAAATTATGCCACATAGTGATGTGATGGTGCTTTTAACTTGAGTTGGCTGGCCAGAGGGGAGGGAGAGGTGGAAACTCAAATGAGCACAACTCACTCAACTGCTTACACAACCACTCTGCCGCATGGACACAGGCTAGCTTGAGTGCTGCTAGTCTTCCAATGCCTTCTCACAGTTATGCCCCGCAAATGCCCCAAAAGTTCTCTCACAGTTTTCTGGGAAAGAGTTCACAGAGCAGCTCAGCTTACCTCGGTGCTAAGAATCAGGGGATATGCCCCTAGGAGTCTTAGCCCCACACATAAGTGAGCTCAGTGCCAGTGGACATAGCAACTCAAATATTATTCCTCAATGTGGTTGCTCTCACTTGAGAAGAGTAACTCAAGTGTAGGCAACTTGAATTAAATCTGAAGTGAAGATTATCCGGGGAGACTGAATGGTTAGAGATGGGCCCAGACAGTCACCAGATCCAAAGAACTCCAAACTTGGTTGATGATGAAATTTGAACCCAGATACAGATCTGAATTTCTCAACTGAATTTTATCTTTATAATTGGCTGAACAAGCACCTTCTGTTTTTGTCTGGCAGGCTTTTTAAAAATCACATGGCCCATTTCTGAAGTTATTTCTCTTGAGGAATAAACTAAAGCCTAATGAGTGGGATTTGCTAAACTTAACTGTTAAAGAAATCTTTAAGGTGGTGAAGGCTACTTTAAAAGCAGGCTCTCTCTTTTACAGATTGGACCATAATGGAAGCACAGGAAGTGCAGAGTAAAAGGAATATTTCTAGAAGAACAAACTTTAGAAAGGGGTCTCTAGAGAGACAAGGTGGGTGAGGTAATACCTTTTATTATACCAGCTTCTGTAAGCTTTTACCTACTTCTTTTTTCATGCTCTGATCTACAGACCACAGGTTAGAGAGATGATGTAACAGCGGAGCTTCCTTTAGCACTGTAGGGAATCTTGGGAACTTTCACAGCTCCTTCCCTTTCTTCCCCTGCCCCAAAGTTGAACCTGTGCTGGGCACAACCGCACAGTAAAAGGAGAATGTTTCAGAGCTGAGCTTGCCAGGCCTAAGAGGCCAGTCAAATAAAGGAGTAAATCTTACCAAAGGGTTGGACATGCTATGGCTTAGGAGTGGAGGCAGAGGATTCTCAGAAGTAATATGTTACCTGGGAATATCTGTTGTCTGTATCCAGAACTGAGACCTAAAAAATGATGGTCCTGTTTTAGCTTTCTTAAACAACACTGTGACTGTTTGCTTACTGCGTACTTAAAAGTGTTGGAATTTGTTCATAATGCTGTAGTCTGTCCTCCAAGTATGGTTTTTTAAAATGTGTTTTTTCTTTGAGTTCAGAAGAGGAGAGGTGGAAACTAGCCAGTATTCTGGCTGCTTGGGCAAAGAGCTAATCTTTGAGCATGGTCCATGCTGCAACCAAGACCACATCATGTGTCCAGTCTGTCATAATATTTATTCACAACATCTTTGTGTGTGACAGAGAGAGAGATTGAATCTTCATTCAGATGAGATCCAGATCTCCATTTATTTGAATGGGACATATACAACATGGCTCCAAAAGGCCTCCAGGAAAGAGCTTTGGGGAGAGATGCTCTCACTTTTCCACTAATACACTCAGAATTCTAATGGCTGAATGAATTAATAAGTAATTACGTTAACTTCTCAAAATCTATGGGTTAGAAGTTATTTTTCATCCACACATCTTGCAGACGGTATTAAATAGATCTCTTGCCCTTTATTGACATATTATTCGAATATACATGAATTTGACAGACACCCCATGTTGTCTCTGAATTGTGGTCTTCTTTTCTTCCTCTCTTCCTGTAACTATAAGAATCTTTCTTCTCTGTACTGATTAGTACACAAGATAGGTGTCTGGTGAAGTCTGTCTCAAGGCACGCTACCTGCCTTTTATTGCTAGGCCTTGAGAATATAATTTCCAATATTTATACATATCTCCTTACATGCTATCCACAGATACACTTCACTAAGGTTATGATGACTGGTGTGATGCAGGCTTTCAGTGGAAACCTTACATGACACTTCTTTGGTGAACTAGAAGGTGAATTCTACACCGGGGAATCCCTTTAACACTTATGCACCCCTGTACTGCCTGCCAGTTGGCGTCAAGAAGTCCTTGGGTCACAATCTCCTATTCTCACCACTATACAGACTCTCCCATTACTGAAACCCCTCATGGCTTTTTAAGAAGCAAAGTGGTCACAGCTCCAGATTGTTTCCACAAATTGCCCATTGGCTGAAAATGATAAAAATGGGTGGGATTAAGCAGCAAAGCTGCTTCAAACAATAGCAACTTGGGCTTTACATCTGCACCCCCTGTTTGCAGGTGGGGTTGCACAGGTGCAGGTACTCTAACCTATTTAGAGCAATCTCATAGGTTTCCATAAAGACTCTGTTGATAATGTTTGCTGAATATGCCTTGAACAGAAGTCCTTATTAATTCCTTATTGAAAAATTATCCATGATAGGGCAGAACAAAATAGGAATAAAGCCAATAAGGGAGTCTCTAGAAATTACTTTAGAAACCTATAGAAGTCAGTGGTGACAGTTAACCATTTAAAAGCCTTTTTCAAGCATATTTACAGCATTCTGGAATAGGGATATAATTTTCCATTAAATGCCATAAAATGGTTCAGAAGACTAGTCCCATTATACATTTCATGCAGGTATTTGGACCATTCCTGGACTTTGAAGATGATTCTGTTTGTTGACAAATCTTTGTGAATTCTTTATAAACTGCTTGAATTTATAATTATTTACAGAATAATTTATGTTCATCTATACATTGTTTGCAAGCAGTTTACTGGGCATTTCATATTTAAAGATTTGATCTGTGTTTTGTTAATTTTGATTGCACACATGATCATATGGTCCGTGTTCCTTTATTGGAATATCATAACTGTTAGAATCGGGTTTCCAACACAAATACTTGTGTTCAGGCATTACAAATTCACTTCCTGTAATTTTGCCCTCTAAAATCAGCTCTTTATGTGAACATTGATTGTAATCTTAGTTGCTAGATTTGTGGAAAGTAAACGCACAAGGAGAAAACAAGCAAAGCCAACTGAGCTTATTATTTAAAATCAACAAAATACTTCCAGAGATTGTCCAGGAACATTCATTCAGTGTGAGAGGGGATCATTATAATAAGTCTGACCTCCTGCACAGGAGTGGACATGGCATCTCACACTAATTCCTGCAACTCACACTGTAATTCCTGGATCAAGCCCAGTGACCTTTGCTTTAGCTGAAAGCACAAACTTTTAGAAAGTCCATCCAATCTTGATTTAAAGATTTTAAGCAATGGATAATCTATCACATGCTTTAGTAATCTTCTCTACCAGTTAATTACACTCACTATTAAAATATGTATGCCTTATTTCCAGTTTTAACTTGTCTAGCTTCAATTCCAACCAGCTATAATCAAGAATAACTTTTCGATCATAATTCCTATGGACTAAAGTGCCTAGAAACATCAAACAACACTGTCTATGTTTGTGACCAACATTGTTGTGTTCTGTAATCGTATTGTCAAAGCCCTGGTCTACACTAGGACTTTAGGTCAAATTTAGCAGCGTTAAATCGATTTAAACCTGCACCCATCCACACAATGAAGCCCTTTATTTCGACTTAAAGGGCTCTTAAAATCGATTTCCTTACTCCACCCCTGACAAGTGGATTAGCGCTTAAATCGACGTTGCCGCCTCGAATTTGGGGTACTGTGGACACAATTCGATGGTATTGGCCTCCGGGAGCTATCCCAGAGTGCTCCATTCTGACCGCTCTGGACAGCGCTCTCAACTCAGATGCACTGGCCAGGTAGACAGGAAAAGAACCGCGAACTTTTGAATCTCATTTCCTGTTTGGCCAGCGTGGCAAGCTGCAGGTGACCATGCAGAGCTCATCAGCACAGGTGACCATGATGGAGTCCCAGAATCGCAAAAGAGCTCCAGCATGGACCGAACGGGAGGTAAGGGATCTGATCGCTGTTTGGGGAGAGGAATCCGTGCTATCAGAACTCCGTTCCAGTTTTCGAAATGCCAAAACCTTTCTGAAAATCTCCCAGGGCATGAAGGACAGAGGCCATAACAGGGACCCGAAGCAGTGCCGCGTGAAACTGAAGGAGCTGAGGCAAGCCTACCAGAAAACCAGAGAGGCGAACAGCCGCTCTGGGTCAGAGCCCCAAACATGCCGCTTCTATGATGAGCTGCATGCCATTTTAGGGGGTTCAGCCACCACTACCCCAGCCATGTTGTTTGACTCCTTCAATGGAGATGGAGGCAATACGGAAGTAGGTTTTGGGGACGAAGATGATGAGGAGGAGGTTGTAGATAGCTCACAGCAAGCAAGTGGAGAAACCGGTTTTCCCGACAGCCAGGAACTGTTTCTCACCCTAGACCTGGAGCCAGTACCCCCCGAACCCACCCAAGGCTGCCTCCTGGACCCAGCAGGCGGAGAAGGGACCTCTGGTGAGTGTACCTTTTAAAATGCTATACATGGTTTAAAAGCAAGCATGTGAAAGGATTACTTTGCCCTGGCATTTGCGGTTCTCCTAGATGTAGTCCTAAAGCCTTTGCAAAAGGTTTCTGGGGAGGGCAGCCTTATTTCGTCCTTCATGGTAGGACACTTTACCACTCCAGGCCAGTAACACGTACTCGGGAATCACTGTAGAACAAAGCATTGCAGTGCATGTTTGCTGGCATTCAACCAAAATCCGTTCTTTATCTCTCTGTGTTATCCTCAGGAGAGTGAGATATAATTCATGGTCACCTGGTTGAAATAGAGTGCTTTTCTTCAGGGGACACTCAGAGGAGCCCATTCCTGCTGGGCTGTTTGCCTGTGGCTAAACAGAAATGTTCCCCGCTGTTAGCCACAGGGAGGGGGTAGTCACGCGGTGGGAGGAGGCAAAATGCGACCTTGTAACGAAAGCACATGTGCTATGTATGTAATGTTAACAGCAAGGTTTACCCTGAAAGACTGGAGCCACTGTTTTATAAAATGTGTCTTTTTAAATACCGCTGTCCCTTTTTTTTTCTCCACCAGCTGCATGTGTTTCAATGATCACAGGATCTTCTCCTTCCCAGAGGCTAGTGAAGCTTAGAAAGAAAAAAAAACGCACTCGCGATGAAATGTTCTCCGAGCTCATGCTGTCCTCCCACACTGACAGAGCACAGACGAATGCGTGGAGGCAAATAATGTCAGAGTGCAGGAAAGCACAAAATGACCGGGAGGAGAGGTGGCGGGCTGAAGAGAGTAAGTGGCGGGCTGAAGAGAGTAAGTGGCGGGCTGAAGACAGGGCTGAAGCTCAAAGGTGGCGGCAGCGTGATGAGAGGAGGCAGGATTCAATGCTGAGGCTGCTGCAGGACCAAACCAGTATGCTCCAGTGTATGGTTGAGCTGCAGCAAAGGCAGCTGGAGCACAGACTGCCACTGCTGCCCCTCTGTAACCAACCGCCCTCCCCAAGTTCCATAGTCTCCACACCCAGACGCCCAAGAACGCGGTGGGGGGGCCTCCGGCCAACCAGCCACTCCACCACAGAGGATTGCCCAAAAAAAAGAAGGCTGTCATTCAATAAATTTTAAAGTTGTAAACTTTTAAAGTGCTGTGCTTAAAGTGCTGTGTGGCATTTTCCTTCCCTCCTCCACCACCCCTTCTGGGCTACCTTGGTAGTCATCCCCCTATTTGTGTGATGAATGAATAACGAATGCATGACTGTGAAGCAGCAATGACTTTATTGCCTCTGCAAGCAATGATTAAAGGGAGGAGGGGAGGGTGGTTAGCTTACAGGGAAGTAGAGTGAACCAAGGGGCGGGGGGTTTCATCAAGGAGAAACAAACAGAACTTTCACACCGTAGCCTGGCCAGTCATGAAACTGGTTTTCAAAGCTTCTCTGATGCGTACCGCGCCCTCCTGTGCTCTTCTAACCGCCCTGGTGTCTGGCTGCGCGTAACCAGCAGCCAGGCGATTTGCCTCAACCTCCCACCCCGCCATAAACGTCCCCCCCTTACTCTCACAGATATTGTGGAGCACACAGCAAGCAGTAATAACAGTGGGAATATTGGTTTCGCTGAGGTCTAAGCGAGTCAGTAAACTGCGCCAGCGCGCCTTTAAACGTCCAAATGCACATTCTACCACCATTCTGCACTTGCTCAGCCTGTAGTTGAACAGCTCCTGACTACTGTCCAGGCTGCCTGTGTACGGCTTCATGAGCCATGGCATTAAGGGGTAGGCTGGGTCCCCAAGGATACATATAGGCATTTCAACATCCCCAACAGTTATTTTCTGGTCTGGGAATAAAGTCCCTTCCTGCAGCTTTTGAAACAGACCAGAGTTCCTGAAGATGCGAGCATCATGCACCTTTCCCGGCCATCCCACGTTGATGTTGGTGAAACGTCCCTTGTGATCCACCGGAGCTTGCAGCACTATTGAAAAGTACCCCTTGCGGTTTATGTACTCGGCGGCTTGGTGCTCCGGTGCCAAGATAGGGATATGCGTTGTGTCTATGGCCCCACCACAGTTAGGGAATCCCATTGCAGCAAAGCCATCCACTATGACCTGCACATTTCCCAGGGTCACTACCCTTGATATCAGCAGATCTTTGATTGCGTGGGCTACTTGCATCACAGCAGCCCCCACAGTAGATTTGCCCACTCCAAATTGATTCCCAACTGACCGGTAGCTGTCTGGCGTTGCAAGCTTCCACAGGGCTATCGCTACTCGCTTCTGAACTGTGAGGGCTGCTCTCATCTTGGTATTCATGCGCTTCAGGGCAGGGGAAAGCAAGTCACAAAGTTCCATGAAAGTGCCCCTACGCATGCGAAAGTTTCGCAGCCACTGGGAATCGTCCCAGACCTGCAACACTATGCGGTCCCACCAGTCTGTGCTTGTTTCCCGAGCCCAGAATCGGTGTTCCACAGCATGAACCTGCCCCATTAGCACCATGATGCATGCATTGGCAGGGCCCATGCTTTCAGAGAAATCTGTGTCCATGTCCTGATCACTCACGGGACCGCGCTGACGTCGCCTCCTTGCCCGGTATCGCGTTGCCATGTTCTGGTGCTGCATATACTGCTGGATAATGCGTGTGGTGGTTAATGTGCTTCTAATTGCCAAAGTGAGCTGAGAGGCCTCCATGCTTGCCTTGGTATGGCGTCCGCACAGAAAAAAGGCGCGGAACGATTGTCTGCCGTTGCTCTGACGGAGGGAGGGGCGACTGAGGACACGGCTTACAGGGTTGGCTTCAGGGAGCTAAAATCAACAAAGGGTGTGCCTGTACATCAAGGAGTATTTCAGGCAGGACTGCACGGAGGGTTCCAATAAGAAATGGTGCACCTAAGTTATCGTTGTTATTGGAACAAGGAGGTTAGCCTGGCCTCTGATTGATACATGGCTAGATTTACCTCGCTGCACCTTCTCTGTGAGTGACTGCAGTGTGATCTAGACAGGGGAGGAGGCAAATGAGTACAAAACAAATCTGGTCTATTTCTTGTTCTGACCCACTCCATCTATCTTTTACATCTTTGGCTGGCAGCAGACGGTGCAGAAGGACTGCATGCCATCCACATCTCATGGCTGCTCGGTAGAAGATGGTACAGTACGACTGCTAGCCATCTTCATCTCTTGCCTGCCTGGCATAAGATGGTACAATACGACTGCTAGCAATCCTCATCTCTTGCCTGCCTGGCAGAAGATGGTACAGTACGACTGCTAGCAGTCCGTATCGCCTGCCTGCTCACCATAAGACGGTTCAATAGGACTGACTGCAGGACTAAAGAGAATGACCTGGTCAAGTCACTCCAAATGTAGTCCCTGCGCCCATGTCTGCCCAGGCGCTCCCAGCCGACGTGGCCAGGAGCACCTCGGACACGACGAGGACGACTACCAATCGTATTGCACCGTCTGCTGCCAGAAGGCAATGGGTTGCTGCTACTGTGCAGCAAAGCCGTACCGCGTCTGCCAGCACCCAGGAGACATAGGGTGACGGTTACCTGAGCTGGCTCCATGCTTGCCGTGGTATGGCGTCTGCACAGGTAACTCAGGAAAAAAGGCGCAAAATGATTGTCTGCCCTTGCTTTCACGGGGGGAGGGAGGGAGCGGGGGGCTGACGATATGTACCCAGAACCACCCGCGACAATGTTTTAGCCCCATCAGGCATTGGGATCTCAACCCAGAATTCCAATGGGCAGCGGAGACTGCGGGAACTGTGGGATAGCTACCCACAGTGCAACGCTCCGGAAGTCGACTCTAGCCTCGGTACTGTGGAAGCGCTCCGCCGAGTTAATGCACTTAATGCACTTAGAGCATTTTCTGTGGGGACACACACACTCGAATATATAAAACCGATTTCTAAAAAAACGACTTCTATAAATTCGACCTAATTTCGTAGTGTAGACATACCCAAAATGAATTGTTGAGTGAATAAATATAGACTGAAGTTTTCACAGCCCTCTAATGCTTTTGGACACCTTTATTGCCAGGAATTTAGGCTTTCAAATACTTGTGGCAGCTTTGAAAAGCTCAGCCTGAGTGTTGCCACAACAAAAAGAAAAACAAAACAAAAAACAAACAAGCACATCCTGACAACTTGAGGATTTTCTTTGTCATTTCCAGTATTCTATTTTCTCAAAGTTTTTGATTTTAAAAGGATTTAATCCACATACTATGTAATCACTCATGGGTTTACTCAGGATAGTACAGATAATAGGATATTTAATATGATTTAGGAGTGAAATCCTGGTTCCATTTAAGTAAACGAGGAAACTTCCATTGACTTTGTTAGGGCCAGGATTTTACCCTAGGGCTCCATTGTACATACGGTTCAAGAACAATTAACCTAGAAGTCCTTAATTTTCTACCAGACATAAACAAGGCACAAAAAAGAATGTTTACTAATTCTCCCTCAATTCTTTGAGCATTATAGATTGCTGCCCAGGGAACATAACACTCCATCTAAATCAGAGAATTTAAAAGTTCCAGGAAATGTGGTCAGGATTCCCAGAACTACAACTGATTATAGGTGGGGCTGGAAGTGACACCTGTTATTAAGGTTGCCCAACACTTCCATTATAAGACCCTTTTTTCAGTTGCTTATAATTTTGACAAACTTTAATCATTTGGGCTAAAATTTTCCATGCCAGGTATCTGCCTCATTCTGAAAATTTTGGAAAATTTCTGCCAAAAGGGGCCATCCATTTCTGAAGATTAGGGGGAAAATAAGGTGTTTTGCCCAGGCTTAAAAAATGTGGGTTTTCTTTGAAAAGCTCTAGTGCTCCCATGCTTTGCAGCAAGGAATTGAAATTGGGCAAGGCTGTGGCCTTTGTGTCGGGGATGTGCTCAGATCTGGCTGAGTTATATGCCTTTGAAAAATGCAGATTGTACATGCTCAGATTCCTTCAATTTTTAGCAATGAAATGACCCAAAGTTTCTGTGCCCACTGCACTTGCCTCAGCCTGGGACGGAGCAGAACTTTCCCTGCAGTTGTGGGTAGGGTTGCCACCCCCCCCCCCAGAATTGTCCTGGCATCTCCAGGAAATAAAGATTAAGCTTTAATTAAAGATTGTCATGTGATGAAGCCTCCAGGAATATGTCCAACCAAAACTGATAGCTCAAGTTGTGGCTCTGGGCTGCTGAGGGGCATGCCAGTTCCAAGCACTGGAATTGAGAGCAAGGAAGTAATTTCAACGATCCCCTACTGGGCCCTGGCAACATGCGGGAAGAAGCTGCCTGATTCGAAGGCAGAAGGGACAGAAGACCTGTGGGTTGGGGGTGGGTGGGGTGACGGTGGGGGAGTAGATTTGGGACAACAATCCTGCGGGAGATGGGGGAAACTAGGAGGCTGGCAGTGGGTGGGAAGGGGAAAACGGACTGAGGGTTGGGGTTGTGGTGGAGGTGAGACAGACTAGTAATGGGGTAGGAGGTGGGTAGAGACAAAGAACCAACGGGGGGGAGAAGAGGGATGATTGATCTGATGAGGAGCTCCTGACAGGAGGAGTTTGTGGGTGAGCCAGAGTGCTAGGGGAAAACTGGGACTGACTGGGCAAAGAGACTGGGAGAAAGAACCGGGGCAGGGAGGAAGTGAGGTTGGACGTGGAGAACGCGTCGTCTACACAGAGGATTGGCTTCTTTTGCATCCATTCTTACCTGCCTCTTTTTGATTCCAAAGCATTGCAACTCTGTAGGATCCACTCTTCCAGGGCTCATCAACTTGTTCCAACTTTCAGGATGGGGGTCCCCTGGGGAAGCGACGTCACTACTAACACAAATACTGCCATGTGAGTATTACTGTCCATGAGGAATTTAATCCAACACAAGTTAATGGACTCAGTACAGGAGTAATTGGATGAAATTCTCTGGCCTGTGTTACAGAGGAGGTCAGTCTGGATGATCTAATAATCCCTTCTGATTTTAAAAATCTATGAATCCCCTTGGCATCAGTCGGGTAACAGTTCATGGAAAGGGCTTATTCCCGAGCCATGCCCTCAGCTGCAGATCTGGAGGATCTCTGTGGGGCTTTTGAAGAGCCCACAGGAGACGTAGGGAAGGATGCTACAGAGGTAGCACTTCCTCCATCAAGGTGTCTACTCAAGGATCCACCTGTTTCATTCCCTGAGCCTTTATGGATGGAGGGAATAATTTGAACTCATGTGGTTAGGTAAGAGTAGAGAATGGATACA